AAAATTTTTTTAAATAAAAAATATTTTAAGAGGATCCCTCAAGACCCTCCAATATTGAATTGGTCCCTAATATTTTCAAAAAAAAGTTTTTCAAAAATATGTCAACCTGGTACTCTAATGAAGCAAAATTATATAAAATTTCAAAATTAATATTTATTTTAAAAAAAAAAATTATTTTTGGTTTTATTACTTAAAAAATTACATTTTCTAACAAAAAATGAAAAAAAAAAATCTATGTTTTTTTATGATCATTTTAATAAATAAGTTAAAATTTTCTCAAAATGAATATATTAGGGTATAGTGATTTTCATAACAAAAAAAAGTTAAAAAATAAATTTTCTTGAGACACGAATCTATGTCTATTATTCATAAGAACAAAGTAAAAAAAAATGTCTTTTGATTTTGATGATATCCTGAGGTTCATCTTTGGATTCTAAATTCTTGGTCCTAATGTTTTTGATTTTTTTTTCTAAATCATATCAACCTTGGACTCAAAAAAAAACAAAAAAAAATCTGCTTGTTTTATAATTAATTATTGCCCTTTGGCAATCACTAGCCATATTATATATATTTATATATATATATATATATATATATATATATATATATATATATATATATATATATATATATATATATATATATATATATATATATATATATATATATATATATATATATATATATATGTATATATATATATATATATACATATATATATATATATATATATATATATATATATATATATATATATATATATATACATATATATATATATATATATATATATAAATATATATACAGATATATATATATATATATATATATATATATATATATATATATATATATATATATATATATATATATATATACATATATATATATATATATATATACATATATATATATATATATATATATATATATATATATTATATATATATATATATATATATATATATATATATATATATATATGTATATATATATATATATATATATATATATATATATATATATATATATATATATATATATATATATATATATATACATGTATAACAATCTATATATAACAATTATTAGGCGGCGTTGTATTTCTAATTTACCGTTTACTAACCTGTTATATATATATATATATAATATATGTTATATATAATATATATATATATATATATATATATATATATATATATATATATATATATATATAATATATAAACGTACCTTTTATTAAGTTGTATAGCTTGGTCAGACTAAAAAGATCCTTTGCTATTTCCAGCTGCCATATTAGATTTGGCCATGACTGAATTTGTCATAAAACTAAAAATAATATATTTTAATAATATTATATTTTATAGTTTATGAAATTATAATTAACTACTGTATTAAAAATTTTTTTCTTTTTTTGTCATAAAATCTAAATGTAATTAATCATTTAGATTTTAATTTACCGATACAGTTTATCTATAAAATCTAACCTATTATTTAAAAAATAGCACACTAACCATTAATGTAGTCTAGATCATAAGTGTACACCAACCATTAGTGTAGTCATATATATGAATATTATCTGGGTTAAAAGAATTATCTGGACTAAAGTTTAAAGCTGTAGGATAACCTATAGCTTTAAACTTGCTAACTGGAAAAAGTGTAAATAAGCATTAGTGCGCCAAACAGGTTAGCAAACATTACGAATAGGCATAAGTGCAAAGTTTGATTAAGTACAAAACAGTTACAAAAACTGGCAGAAGTGCAAACTGACATAAGTGCGTGTAATAAATTTGCAAACATTGGCCTAAGTGCTGATTGGCATTTTGCCTTATGCTAATTTGCAGTTATGCCAGTTTGAATTATGCTAAATTTTGCAAATTTATTTAGCACACTTATGCCAGTTCGCATTTATGTTGTTTGCACTTTTGCGAGTTTTTGCAACTGCTTCACATTTATACCAGTTTCTACTTATGGCAATTCACACTTATGCAAATGTTTGTAAATCTATTTAGCGCACTTATGCCAATTTACACATATGCCAGTTTACACTTACAGCAGTTTGCTCGTATGCCAATGTTTGGAATTTTTTTGTGCAGTTATGCCCATTTGCACTTATGCTATTTGGCATTGTGTTTCGCACAGGTGCTAGTTTTTGTAACTGCTTCGCACAGATGCTAGTTTGCGCGTATGAAATTCATGGTTATTCAGTCATCCCATTATGGTAAAACGGCTAACGTAGAGCCATGCATGGGATTTGTATTATGGATTGTAAGATGGGAGTAATATCATTATAAAATTAAACAGAGTATTTATAGGAATGCACTTTTAATTTACTAACCTCTTCATCATAGCTATCACAAGTTTTTGACAGTTCTTACCACTAATATTTTGAACTCTTTGTTTCTAATAGAAAGAAATAATGGAAATCTGACAATTCCTAATTAAGTAGTAAAACTTATATATTGTAAAGAAAATTTAAAAAAAAAGAAAAATTTGTCAAATTAGTATTTAGCAGTTTACAACTGCAGAGATACTACAGAGTTACTAGATGAAACATTGTCAAGTGCTGAGTCAAACTTATCAAATTCTATTATGCTGTTCATTTCAGTTACTACTTCTTCTTCACACTATTTTATATTAAGTTTTTTGCATCCTTGGGTTTTTATCTCATTTAAGAGAAGCAACACACAATATTGAAAGTCTAAACAAATTTACACTAATTAAATTTTACATAGTCTTAACTAAACTACGTAAATAAATAAATTTAAAAAACATAAATTTAACAATTTAACAACTTTACTGGTCTAACCCTAAATCAGAGAAAAACTAATAGACAGAAAAATACCTAAAAGTGGCAATGCTATATTATATATATTAGCGTTTTTCTCAGATTTCGGGTTAGACAAGAAAGATTGTTCCATAGATTTATAGTTTTGATAATATTGAAATAATGGATTTCATGAAGGTGATTATTTAAAGTTAAAATTGCAACCTTATTGTTTCAATGATGTTTTTTTAAAATTGACAGTCATGTTAGCATTTTACAACAAACATTACAATATTATTTTTAACTAAAGACTTACTTGCTTGAGATAATGGAAATCCATCATGTTTATCCTTTTTATTTAAAGATGATGAATATTAATGTCAGGCCTTGCGATAAAGCGTCGGGCGATGTGAATTTTACGTCGTCCAAGAGCGATTTTGCGTGTAGCTAGGGCTATTTGCGTCGAGCAAAAAATTTTTTGTTTGAGTATATTTAAAGATATTTTTTAGCGGAATTTTAATGAAGTAATTTACGATTATTTTAACATTTTATAAAGTATTTTAAAAACTGCACGCTGTTGATATAAAAGTTTGAATTACAGAAAAATTAAATATGCTTATTATTTACAAGTAGAAAAAATTCAGATTGAAAAAAAAGTTTAAATCTTTTTAAGCTAACATTTTAATAAAGATTATTCAGCAATAGCAAAGTTGTCGATAAAAATGAACAAAAATACTTTCTTTTAGTTTCAAATTTTTAACTTAAATAATTGTTTTACGGGGGTTTGTTAGGTTTTAAAATTATTCCATAGATTTAAAAATATTTCTTAACTGTTAGACGTATTTAAAGTATTTAAGAGTAATTTCGAGGAAATATTTTAATAATTGGTAAGCGCCAATAAAAAAAATTAAAGGATTAATATTAAAACGTATTCTACTTGATTCAATAAGAAAGTACAGCTATTAAAAGTTTTGTAAAAATCGATACTATCGATATCGATAATATCGATATCGATAAAAACTCGATAAAAATTACTTAAATAATAACGATCGCTTTTTTGTTAAAAGTTACCGAAACTCAACGAAGCGTGCACAAGAACAGCTGCTGAAAAATAGAACGTCAATAGTTTTTCGAATAATTTTTAAGAATAATTTTTTCGCTGAAATATTTCTTTCATACCTATAAGATTTTTATTCTAACATTTTATTTTATTTTACTAGAATTAAAATTCCTTGTTAACATTAAAAATTATTCAAAACGTTCGTTTAAGTTTTTTATTAATACGAGTGATTGTGCTTATCAACCGCTTTTTGAAAATAAATAAAAATAAATAAATATTATATAAAATCGCTTGTAAAAATATTAGCTATTGCACAGTTTTTAATCGTACAATATTAAAATTTCCAGTTTATTACTCGCTGACTTTTTTTTTGAAAAACTTTAAATTACATATTTAAGAAAAAAAAAAATCAAATATTAGCATATTTTATAATCTTTTTTAAATTTAAGTTATAATGTTTTTTATTCGTTTAGTATAGACAAAACGTGACAAACGTCAAGAAAATAAACAAATGTTTTTACATTTTAAAAAACGAAACATTCCAAAACATTTTAAAATAATAACATTTCTACATAAACGATTTAAAGTAGTTTTGCGGTAATTAAGTAAATTGGTGCAGTTAATGTCGATAAATATGAAAAGCAAATAAAAAGAATTTAATGACGTCAAAAATCACGTCGTGCTTATGCGTCGCGCAGTTCTTATTCATCGCAAGGTCTGTAATGTGTCTTAAAATGAATCTATTGGTCATCACAATTAATATCATCTTTATTTATTATTTTTTGACCTACAGAACACAAGCATAGGTAATATTTGAATTTCATCTAACAACTTGTCTTCTCATGTAGCAATTTTACAATTAAAAAATTTTTACAAATTACTTTACAGATTAATAACTTTATAAGTAAAATAGGGTATATAGTATGGTATATAATATTATAGGTTTCATACTGCTAAACATTTGGTAATAACACCAGAATATCATTAAAGAATAAAAATTTTAAAATGACATTTTGAAGTAAGTCACTCCCTTTCTTGAAACAAATCATCATATTTTTTCCTTTTAGCCTTTTAACTATAGTAACTCCTTTATAAAAACCACTGATATTATCATTTTTAATTTTTAGAGTTAATGAAAGAAAAACTCTGAGAATGTTGTTCCCTTTTCTCAAATCCAAATAAATTTTTTTGCGTTAAAAACAGTTGATAATTAAGTAGAATTAAAAACTTAATCTAGTTTTTTTAATCATTTAAGTTTACTCAACAATTAAGTTATTTAATTGAGTAAAATAATCTAGTTAACCACACCATTAAAACTTTATTATTCATATCTACTTGATTCAAGTAGAAATACAAACACAACCTAGTTTTAACGAAGGCATACAACTTTAAACTAAAAATACTCCAATATATTTTCAAATTTAATTCTACAAGAAAACAATACAAACACTTGGTTGATTTAAATATATACTAATTTATATAATTTTTACTTAAATAAATCAATTCGCCTAATCGAAGGTCACGCCATTATTTGCGTAAACATACTCTTTTAGATATTGCCGTGCTGTACGTTTAAAAAAAGTTTTTATATCACGTGAAAAAAAACGTTCATAAGCTAACTGAGAAATTTCGTAAGTTAATAAAAAAAATAAAACGTTTAAAAAACGCTAAAAAAACGTTTAAATTAACATTTAAAAAAACGTTTGCAAAAAAACGTTTTAAAAACGATTGTATTGGTTCTTTTAACGTCAGACCGTAAATTGAACGGAATTAAAACGTTTTAAAAACGTCCTGTGCTTACTGGGTAGTAGTGTTTGGTTGATTATTATAGCTTTTCCTTTTATCGATAGTTTGAATTTTTCCAAACTCTTGATCTTTTTTTCCAGTTTTTCTATGCTTTCTTTAGACTCTCGGTTGATGTATTGATTAAAATTAGAAAAAGTAATACCTAAGCTCTTAAGGGTAGTGTCATGCTGAAGTTTAAAAAATTTTCTTTTATTATGGATCTGTTTCGTCCGAATCAGAGGCCTTGGCATTTAGAGATGTTTAACTTTGTTTCTGTAGCTTGTTTTTATATGTTTAGAGCATTACCTAAAGCTATGATTGAGTTGTCAGTCGATAAAAAGAAGTTGGTGTCATCCTCATATTGTTGTAATTTGGTTTCTTTATTGTCGATTGTGATTCCTTTAATTTCTGGATTTCTCCTTAATGAATCCCGCAAAAACTTCTGCTTGAATTACATATAAAATCATTGAAATTGGGCATCCTTGCCTAACTCCTTTGTATATGTTTATTTTGTCTGACAAATAGCCGTTTATTTTAAGATACGCACTTATGTCATAATATAAAGTTTTAACTAGGCTAATAAAAAAAAATACTAAAACCGAATTTAAATAAAAAATTATATAAAAAAATTCCTGTCGACACGATCAAAGGCCTTGATTTGGTCAATTGAGATAATGGAGGCATCTAAATTGTTTTTGTTAGCTATATAAATTATGTCTCTTGTATATGCAAGATTTTGGTAGATTGTTCTGTGGGAGATACTTGAAGTTTGGTTTTCGTGTATGATGTTTGGAAGTATTTTTGCTAGTCTGTTTGATATAATTTTTGTGAGAATTTTGTAATCTGTGTTTAATAGGTCGCCAATTGGAAATTTCAGTTTTATCTCCTTTTTTAAATATACATGTTATAATGGCTTGTTTCTGTGTTTCCGATATTTCGTTTGTTTCAATGATGTCATTTAGAAAATCAATTAAAATTTTACCTAATTCATCAAAGTTAGATTTATAAATTTCGACGGTTAGACCATTATTCCCGGGTGATTTATTGTTTTTCATATTTTTAGTGCATTTTTGACTTCAAATAATGGGACATCGAGTGATCTTTATAGGGACATCGAGTGATCGTTGTTATCTTTTTGATATCCGAGTTATCAAGAATGAATTTTTGAAGTGTGACCTCATTTTTAGCGTCTTTGTATAGATTTTTATGGAAATTTTCAAAACATTTAGTGATATCTTGGATGTTATTTTTTTCGGATCCGTCTTTGTCTTTTATTAATGTAATGACTTGTTTAGAAGTTTTTGCTTTTTCTAGTTGAAAAAAGAATTTGCTCAATTTTTCACCCTCCGTTCGCCATTTAAATCTTGCTCGAATTTCAGCACCTTTGGCTCTATTTTTTTCGTACGTTTCAAGTTTTGCTGTTATTATATCACTTAATTTTTTCATTTTTGGGTTGATATGGGTTTTTTTAAATGAATTTTTTCCTCAGTTTGTATTCTTGAATTCGAGTTATTTTAGCTTCCATTTTGCTGAATTTTTGAGAAAAAAGTTTTATTTGATTTTTTAGATGGTCCCAGTCTTCAGTTTTATTTTTAGAATGATCAATTTTTTGGGCGCCTGTTTTGATAATTTCTGAAATTCTTTCTAAAAAATTAGTATTTTTAAAATTTTTATTACTAAGCATCCAGACCTCTTTTCCAATATCAATGTTGTTTAAAGAAATAGTAGTGCATTTTGTATTGTGATGATCCGAAAATGTCATTGATGGTAGTAAATTGACGCATTTGTTTACTTATATACAACCTGTCAACTCGAGAGAATGTTATTTTGTTTGTTGATTTATAATGTGGATTAAAAATGCGCCAAGTGTCTTCGATGTTTAAAGTTTTTAAAAAAGTTTTGAAATCATTTATTGATAGACATTTTTTTCTGTTTATTTGCGGATAACGATCAATATCATCTAGGACCATACTGAAGTCGCCTCCGAGTATTGTAAATTTATTATTAAATTTTTTTGTTTTGATAATTTTTGCTGTTTTTAAATAAATTTTTTCTTTTGATTTGGTTAGCATAACTTGTAACAGATGATTCGTAAACATTTATTATTAAAAAACTGTGGTAATCGTTTTCTACAATTATGTAATTAAAGTGACCTTGATGGTCTTTATAATGGTCAATTATTTTTAAATTAAATTTAGTTTTATTAATTAAAATCATAGTTCCTCCTATGTGTGACGTACCGTTGGAATAGTAGCCATAATTGTTCCATAGTTTTATAAAATTTTCTGCGTTTTGCAAATTAAGATTTGTTTTTTGTAATAAAAAAAATCATAGTTCATTTTTTTAAATTTTTCGATAATCATGTTTTGCTTGTTTACGTCAACAAAACCGCATACATTTCCATTTTTGTTTTATTGTGATTTGTGATGAGTTTGTGGTTCTTGATAGTAAAATAATTGTTATGACAAAAAGTGTAAATGGATGTGTGAAGAAATGGAATGTCGTTTACAAAAACGTTTTTTCGTAAAAAATAAATAAGCCGTAGAAAAACAAGAAAAAATATAGTAGTTAAAAATATCTCATACCGCTTTATGTCTCGGTAATCTTTTCGGATCGATTTTTTGAGGAGTCGGTGGTGGGGCGTTTCGTTTATAAATGTTTTTTTCGTTTTGCCGTATTTCGCCCTCTTCCATTTCTGATTCTATATCACTGAATTCGATTTGTTCGTTTTGGGTTTGATTTTGTTTTCGTTCCTCTCTTTTTTGACTTTTGCTTTACACTAATTCAAATTCTGGTTCAGTAGAGATAATTTTGGGTATTTTGCTTTCAGCTGGTTTTGTCGATTTATTAATTGTTTCAGTTGTTTGGTTATCAGTTGTAGTATTAATCAATTCATTTTTGAATTGATTAATACTACAATAAAGACCGTCCTTTAAATTTCGGTCAAACTTATATGTTGTATGAGTAGTTACTCATACAACATATAAGTTTGACCGATATACCTCCTTGATGAATGGGTTCAATTCCAAAAGAATTTCATCGTCCTCGACTAAGGGATTGCATTTAACCGTAATTAGAAGCCTAATATCAGATCGTATTTTTAAACTGATATTTTTTTACTTCCAGATAATTGAAAAGTTGATTCGCTAATACGTATAGCATCTTCATCACCCAATTTCCCTTTTTATTGTATGTTCAAATATTGATTCCATTATTTCCTATAATGGATAAAACCTTTTCACAAATTTCTTGAGCCCTGCTCTCTTGGTATTTTTTATTAAAGTTTTCTGAAGGTTCCATATAAACATTTAAATCTTAAATACATTCCATTCTATTAGACTTATTTGACGCAACTCTCGCGTAACTTGCTTTGATATAACGATCTCTTATAAAAAAATTAACAGTATCATACAATTTTTAATAAACTAAGCCAAGCAGATTATAAAAATAGCTTATTAACACAAATACTGTAAAAAGTAGGTATGTTTTTTTTCACTTAACATGAACTGGTATTGTGGTTTATCCTCTTTCGGCTAATTGCCATATAGAGGCCACATTACGAAGGCCCGCAATGACAGGTTCACCTCCCCAAGGAGCGTCATAACCCGCTCTACGGACCAAGAGTAAAATGAGTTTGGGAAGAACGAAGATATGTTAGAGTGAAAGACAGAAGTAGTTGAGTTAGAAAGATAGCATAGAGAAAGCGGACAGAATTGCACCCGATGTTAGAAGGTGCTATAACGTACTGTTAAGTTAGGTTAACCTCAGTAAAGTATGCCGACAAAGAGTCAATTGGAGTTCACTTAACATGAACTGGTTGTATGGTTTACCCTCCTCTGGCCTTGATCCTAAAAGTGGGTTATAATGCTCCGCCAAGGAGCATTATAACCCACTTTTAGGATCAAGGCAATTTTGGGAAGAACGAACATATGTTAAAATTTTCTAAAATTTCTTGTGGGTTTGTATTTTTTTTTTTAATCTTTTAAAAATACTTTTATTGACAAAAAAATTTTGTTTCATACTAATATATCGTAACTCTTTGTAAAAACTAAAAATTAGAAAATAAAATATAGCAAAAACATTTGCTAAAAATATATAATCTTTTTTGTACTAAAAAGTAGAAAATAAACTTTTTAATTTAAATTTAATAGTTCAGTAAACTAAAGGTGAACTATTAAATTTAAATTAAAAAGTTTATTTTCTACTTTTTAGTACAAAAAAGATTATATTTTTTAGCAAATGTTTTTGCTATATTTTTTCAAATTTCACATACCTGATCCTCGGGCTGTTTAGTTACGCATGCGTGAGAAAATGCGAAAAACTTTTGAACTTTTAAAATGGTTACGGTTCTTAACTACGGAGTATATTTTTAATGTTGTAGCCTTATTTTTAATGTAGATCAGTATATTATTACAAAAATTTCACAAAAATATAAATAAAAAAAGGATAAAAATATCTTGGAGTACTTAAACTTTATTTTCAATCAACTACTTTTTAGTGTAACTTAAAGGATTTGTTTATTTATTTGAAATCAATTTTTTTTAAACTTGACTGTAGGATTTCAATATATATTTTTTTAAACTTCAGATAAATATGTTCTATATTTATGATATTTTTCTGGTCACTGCTTTAACTTTTTTTCAATATAAAAGTTTGTTTTTACTGTTATGACTATTTACTAATATATATATTAATAACAATATATATTTTGAAATAAAAGTTTACACTTCATGGTTCATGGCTTAGATTAGTACGAGTACTAATCTAAAGTAAACACCAAAAGCAATCATATAATAATAATAATGTAAATTAAATAAAGACGATTACAATAATATCAATAATACTATTAAATATAATAATGACAATAATAATAACAATAATAATATTAACAAATATCACATTTATATATTAAACAATTTTAATAAGTAATAATGACGGTAATAAAAATATAAATAAAATGTAAGTAATATTAACATCATATCTAATAATAATACTAATAACAATAGTAATAATAATCTATTATAAGCCTAAGATCTTAATTAGAGTATTTTTCTATCAAAAAGTCAAAAAGACAAATTTTAAATTGTGAAAAAGAGTTGAGGGATTGAAAATGAAAAAGTAAAGGTCCACGATTTTACGCATTGGTTTGTAATAGAATTATTACCGTATTTTACCAAACAGCGATTTGGGATAGATAATTTAAAGTTAATCAAAGATCGAAGGTAATGTTGAGAACTTTTTTTAGTGGTAAAAAAACTGGAGAGCGGCGGAGGGAGGTTTACTTATTTATGATTCCAGACAAATAGACAATTTAATAAATAAACAAGATCACATAATTTGAGTATTTTTAATAGAAAGTAAAGGATGTCAGAGTTACCCTCTACAAAGCTTATTATTAAAACCCTCTACAAAGCTTATCTGCTTTCCACATGGAATGCAAATTGCCTTAAAATCACAGCTATAATTAATTTTGAAAAGCTTCCAAACAAAACTCGCCATTTTGAAGTTTAAACTCGCTAGTTAATCAGGTAATATTTCGTCATAAAAAAATATATTTTAGGATTTGATGCAAATTATCCGGCCAGATAATTTTTAAATATATAGGTATTCGATACCTATATATTTAAAAATATTAGGGAAAATAATTAGGGAAAATTTTTTTTTTTTCTCTCACTGCTTTCATATACACCTATTAATGGGAAAATGTTAAAATTACAATGGAAACTCGTGAAACCTGTTAGTTTTTGATATTAACTCACAATTAAACAAAAACAACAACACAAATTATTTCAAAACACTTTTTTAAAATTTTAGTAATGAAAATTTAAAATTTATCTTCAAAAATGCTGTTAGGAGTTACCAAATATCTCAAAAATTTGGCTTCAAATTAAATTTTGATTTATCATTGATGATGATTTATCATTGATGATGATTTACCATTGATGATGATTTACATATCAATCTCAAAAGATACTAAAACGAGACACTGAGGCGAAAAATTTGTAAATAAGTTTTCTAATAAACAAAATAAGCTCGGAAAAAAACTGTGAGCTCTTAAAAATTAACCACAAGAAAATTAATTATAATCTTTTAGTGGCATTATGTTACATTATAATTTAATTAATTAAATTCTAGAAATAGTTTTTTTTCTTCTGTTGTTTATGAATTTTGTCTCACTGAGCGCCGACATAAAGTAAGCTTTAAAACAAATAAATATTTTATGTGCTAACTTTAATAAATTTATTTAAAAATAACAGAAAAATGTTCTCCTAAGCAAGCACCTCTAAATCTAGTTCTGCATCTAGTTAAAATATTTTCCTCATCAATGGAGAGTCATTTATACAACGGTCTGCCATCAAAAATTTATTAAATTGTAAAAGCTCTTCATCCAATGACTGAAATAAATAGTTCATAAAGATCATATTTTATATAACATTTATAACATATTTATATAATAATATAGTTAAATCCAAAGAGTAAAACAAATAATGAGAAAGTATCAATTAAACAGAATAAAAAATTACATTGAAAAAAGGTTGAATAAATTTTCGATCAAAAGCATTTTCATATTGATTTCTGATTTGCGCACTTGTTAAATCAACCATCATTATGTTGTCTGAATATAAAAAATTATTTATGATAAAAAAAAATTATATATATACATAATTTTAAAAAATGAATTCAGCAATTCCCAGAGGCCAGAGGGCCATTATAGTCAACAAATTATATTTACTCTCAATTGTTATATAACCCACTCAGTTAAAACTTAAGCAAAAACTCTAACAAAAAAGTTGAGGGCAATAATTCTAGAAAATTAGTGGGTCTGAAGTCATCCATATGAAAGTTAGACAACTTATTTTATTGATGACACAAAAATTTATTTAAGTTAACTAAATATATTATTTTTGACATCTTATAACTAAACATTTTATCTTCTCTTATTGCCCTTAATGATACAATTGTTGTTTTAATGTTATTTTTTAATGTTATTTTTTTATGTTATTTCAATTGTTTTTTGAAGTTATTTTTTTAGTTAAGCATGACAAATCGTAATTATATAAATTATATAACAGTAATTATTATTTTTTTAAGCATGACAAACAGTTATTACTGTTTGTCATGCTTAAAACTTTTTTAGTTAAACATGACAAACAGTTATTACTGTTTGTCATGTTTAACTAAAAAACTAACTTTTGAAAAAAATACTTTCTCATCACAAAAATTTATTCAAGTTAACTAGTTATATTATTTTTGACATCTTATAATTAAATATCTTTTCTTTTACTGTTTTAATGATACAATAACTGTTTTAATGATCAATAACTGTTTGTCATGCTTAACTAAAAAATTAACTTTAAAAACAATATTTTTATCACTTAATAATTTCAAATAGTAACTTGAATTATATCAAATTCCGACCAGAGTCAATCAGAGTACATCAAAACAGTAAATTATTAGAATCCTAGATTAAAAAAAACATTGCAATACTAATCCTTTGTGAACTGAACAAAAATAGCTATATGTCTGAAGACTGAATATCAAGTTATAACCATTAAATTAGTATTAGTAAATTAGACCAATATTAGTTAAATTAGTAATATGAAGTACTAGTCAGTTTTTTCAAGCATCACTTCAAAAACATTAATGAAAGATTTTCACTGCAAATATTAGTCTTTTTTGTGTGATAAATTTCAAAACAATTGTTAGGGTGCAATCCTGGTTGTGATGGACAAAATCAACAAATGTAAACAGTTTTTAGGGAATACCCTTTGTCAGTCTTTTTACTATGAGCATAACAAACACGACACTTTTTATGACAACTTCTTTTATTTTTATCTGCAGAGCTTGTTATATTTGAAAGGCCTACCAGTAAGACAATCTACATCTTCTACAAGGACCACCCTAAGGTTATGGGGTATCTCAGGGGTTAGTGAAAAAACTAGCTTGATGTTAATGATTTGAGCCGCTGATCTACCCTGTCAACACCACCCATGTGCAAGTTGTAAGCCTTTATTGCTGATGGCTTTATAATATTACCCTCTCCGCCAGACTTAACCGCTGTCAGAATTAACCATCACTGAATTATGGAAAGTTGATAATATATATACAACTTTTCGTTTGTTACCAGTTTTATCTTTTGCAGTCCAACATTTGCAGGCTATCATTTTGTTTTCCATGTATATAGTTTTGTAAAAATAATGAGTTCTTTTTTCAAGTTTCTTTTTATAATACCTTTGCAGTAGAACTTACAGTTAACACAGATAGTTTCACAAAGATAAGTCTTTTTAGACAAAAGATAAGTAGCAAGGTAGTAGCTTGCATAATAGTTGTCTGTGAAAAGTATATGGCTCTTGTTTAAAAAAGGAGTTATCAATTCTACTGGTATGCATTCATTAGATGGCATTCCCTGTAAAATGTCATCTTCATACATCCCTAAAAAATGTAAATGTTGTTAATTTAGTCTAAAAAATCTGATGTTGTTAATTTATATAAATTGATATCAAAAGACGCCTTTTTGGTTTATACCTACTGGCAAAATTTGAGTCTACTTTTGAATAACACCAGGGACTTGTCTACACTCAAATACTGTCCTGGATTAAAGACTTTTCTGCAACAATCTCAGATCATGTTCAAGAAAGATCTAACCTTATGAAGTCGGTCTCGTGCAGGATTATTAGGAACATTGCTAGGGTCATTGCTGTTGTTAAAATTTTATGGTTATTGTTGTTGTATAAACTTGGTAATAATTTTTAATTAGTCGTAATTCATAGTTTTGAAGAAATTCCAATAAAGCTCAGTCAACAAGAAAATCTATTGCATAATTAACAAAATCTCTTGCATAATTAACATAATCTTAACATAACAATTAGTTTCACTTTTGATTAATTTGATTGAAAGTTAATTCAAGAATAGTATTTGTCAAGTAGAGATCAAAAAAGTCAAGAGTGTTTTCTAATCTTACTCTAGCATTTAAATCTTGAGATGATATAAACTCAAATGCTTTATCTTCATTCTCTTTGTTATCAACTTCAACATGATCCCAGGCCAGATGTAAATCAGTTCGGTTGGCAAAACTGATTTATTGACATGCTTGATCACCTTGAAAGAGAACATGGTTGCAACAAACAAGCCCATCACCACAAGTAAAAACATGAAACTGCTTTCTACTAGCTGATGTACTGCTGCTATCCATTTCTATATTAGTGCTGACAATAATGTCTTTATTAGATATAACTAAATTGTGTCCTTGTTTTTTTTTTAAATTTTCAATATGTCTGAAACAAAATCTACAAAATCTTCTTCTTCATATTCTATAATGCTCTTAGAGTCACTAATTTTTTTTTCTATCAGGATCTTTATCAGCTTCTGCATCACTACTATTAAATAAAATTTCTAAAATTTTGTTCATACCTGCATAGTTATTTTTTTTGAAAGACATTTTTTACAAACTTCCTTTTTAAATTGCAAATGATCTAGAAATGGAATTAACATGTTTGAAGTTCTCTAAATTTTACAGCTAATAAGATTTTGATTTACTAAACATCTTCTTCTTATAGTAAATAAAAAGTTAGTAAATTTAGGAAATATTGATGACGTAGGTCGGTCATCATATGGAAATAATTTTCATGACTCGCAAGGCGGGGCATATGTCACAAAAAATTAAAATAGGTAAATTTGTAGATGTTTTTAAATTTTGTGTGTAAAAAAAAAAGTAAAAACTTAGCAAGTGATGTCACTAACAAGTCTCATTCTGGAGGATTTGTTAATCATGTTGAAGTTTGATAATTATGAAAAAAGAAATTACAATTTAATAGTAAAACAAAGATATACCTGGTTCATCATTTAATAGCAGGTGTTTTAAAAATGTGTGAACTGCAGAGTTTGTATCGTCGTTATTCTTTGCAATTCTATTAGACAATAGAGCAAGATCTTTTTCAATGTGCTGTACTAGAAACATTTTCATTGAATCTGAATTTACTTCTGGATGCACCAATTTCACAACATCCTAGAATAAATGAGAGTTTTAGAATTTAATAGATAAATGTCTATATATTTCAAAAAAAATTATAAATACCTCTACATGACCCCTCAATGTTGCAACAAGTAATGAAAGATGCACTAATAAATTTTGAAGTGTAACTGATAAAGGTGTCAATTCACGGTGTGGAATAGAAAAATTTGAGCGTTCTGAAGCTGGACCTAAACAATGACCAGGTTTTGTAGCATCAACTCTAATAAATAGTAATTAATAATAGTAGAGTAAAAATAATAGTATAGTAAATCAAGATTTCTAAATCCAATGAAAACAAACTAAATATCAAAGTATGACATCATCAGTGATGTTTCATGTGGATACATGTACACATGCACACACATAAATAGACTATAGACTATATATATATATTTAAGTATATATATATATATATATATATATATATATATATATATATATATATATATATATATATATATATATATATATATATATATATATATATATATATATATATATATATATATATATATATATATATACAGGCCTTGTTTTAAAGCGTTACGCCTAGAGCAATTTACGTACGCCTTAAGCGATATTTACGTACGCGTAGAGCTGTTTTGGTTAAGCTACTTTTTGTCATTTTTTAACTTTTAAATTAGCGGTAACATAAATGAAGTAATTAATTTTTAAAAAAACCACATTAACTTTTAAATAACGATATGTAAAGATATTTAATAAAAAAAAAAAGAATTTACTTAAAAAATAATTGTTGTAACTTTTCATCACGAAATATCTTTCCTTTTTATAGCAATTAATTTGACGCTAAACTTTTAATCCATATATTTAACAACATAAAAAAATAGTTTGTCAATCCTTAACTACAAATTTTTTGCAATGTTTTTAATAAAAAGTAGTAATTTTTTATAGTTTTCAGTAAAAAACTTTTAAAAAATCTATATTCCATATTTATTAAATACAGAATATAAATGTTTTTTGTAATATAGATTTTTTAAGAATTTTTTACTGAATTTATAATAAAAAACATTTGCAAAAAAATTTGTAATTAAGAATTGACATTTTTTTTAATATCTCAAAAAATGTCTTTATATTTTTGTTATCATGATAACAAAAATATCAAGACATTTTTTTGAGATATTAAAAAAAATGTCTTTGCTTTTCTTATTAGTTAAAGGTATACCTTTACCTTTAAGTTATGCGGGGGGAGGGGGTTGGCACAGAAAAAAAAAAATTACCTGTTACTCACAATATTTGAATGAAGACAATTTGTTAAATTTCTTCTGCGTGCGATTCAATAAGTTTTTTTTTCACAAATCAAGCTATATTATAAGGTAAAGAAATCATGAATAGACTACAACATCCGCTGATGACAATAATATTACGTTGAATATATTTATATAACGAAGGTTTCATTATGCACGCGCACACTACAGGTTCCGTTAAATAAACACTAAGGCACGTTTTAGTTTAATGACAGTCTTCATTTTTTACTAATGAATATGTATTTTTCTTTATAAAACAAAACAAACTAGTATATAAAAGCCTTGTATATTTCTATTATCTCTAAGTTGTTTAAAGTTCGAATATGGATTGTATTTTGA